GAACGGCAATGTCCGTGGCTGTCTCCTCCTGATTGGTGGAGTTGGCCCAATAGCCGTAGCGCCACTTCTGTGATGTCATAGAAGTGTTCAAATCTGGATCAGTCTGTATCAGATCCGTTGCAGCCCCTTTTTAAGAGATTTGGGTATAGAGGAAAAATAGAGAGGGTTGTGTTTTCTGACACTTGGTGAGTTCCCTGGAACACCGGGGACACATATTCATGTATAAAAGACGTACAAAAGTGCATTTTGCATGATAGGTCACCTTTAACTTTGAGCGAGAGCACACAGTTAACTGGAGGAACCAAATGTATGTAGTGAGAGGGGGGCGGAGTAACAAATAAGCGAGAGCCCCCGGCTAACTTGTACACAGTTATCTCATTAGCTTGAGAATAGATAGTACAATCAGCGATAAATGGTAGCGATCTCACCGGCTGTCGTGCAGGAGCGTCCGCTCTTTACCGGTCCGGAGCTCCTAGGGTCCGAGCGGTGAACACCACAGTCCGCTCCCTTGGGAGGGCGGACAGCTAGCTCGTCGCAGCCTTTGGAGGGCGAGCGTTTTCCTAGACCGCAGCTCCGATCGAGATGATCACAAGGCTACAGGTAGCGATGAGCTAGAATCTTAATTTTCAATAAGCTAGCTTGGCTTCTACTGAAAAAGTAGTAACCTGCGCAGCGAGAAGATGAAAAAGCTCTGTGTTTTGTGTCGCTGTAACTTCTGTTCATTGACCTCTGTCACCGACCAATTCGACTTGCTTGTGATTTCCGCCTGTCCACCATATTTGCGCTAGCCCTGGTTTCCGACAATTGAATGCGACGTTGCTACCAGGAAGTTATTTTGAACGATAGAACTTTATTGTCAAGCCCTCAGTTTTTGAATTAAGGAATCAACCTTGATGTTTATCTGCCTTGTTATAATGTATTGATATCATTATTCAATACAAAAGAAAAGAAAAAAGGTTATTGTCCAGCCGCAGCCAGAAACTAAAGAGGCAACGTCACTACGCTATAGGGCTGTGCAATTCATCGTATTTTAAATCGCGATTACGATTATGGCTTGCGACGATTATGAAAACAGCATAATTGACAAAATACGATTACTTAGCTGGGTGCGCTTTCGCCCCTCCCTAAAAGCCCACTCGGCCACGTGGGAGTGACATGTGTTGTGAGTGTTCAGCGAGAGCGAAGATGTCAGAACAAGAGCAGCAACTCGTTAAAAAGAAGGGTAAAACTATTTCCACTATTTGCAAGTACTTTGCCATTACATTCCACATCGCTAAAGATATGTGCCCAGTTAGCACTGTTAGCAACCAGGGCTTTAAGCAACTTGTCAACACATTGGACAAGCGTTACGCGATGCCGTCTCGGTATTATTTCAGCAGGTCTGCGCTGCCTGCACTATATGACAAATGCCGTAGGGAAGTTGAGAGAGATGTGGCTTCAGCTGACTACTTTGCTACCACAACAGACCTATGGTCTAGCCCAGGGGTGCCCAACCAGTCGATCGCGAGATGTGTCTACAAATAGAACAACAATATTCTGTTTTATCGTTAATGTCCTGTAACATAATCTTCCTGTGCCAGAATAATGCACTTGAACGCATCAAAGCTTTGTGATTGGCCAGCGTCACCCCATGTGTCGGGGTGTGGCTGAGGGTCTTCAGTACAGGTGGTAATATTGTCACCTGCCTGCGCTCATCTCTGAAACCAGACCATGTAAACAGGCTGTTGTTTCTTGCAAACAATCTTTAAGAGATGACATGAGCAGCCCTACCAGCATTTGCCATGGTGGCCTAAACATTTTTATTTGGTCTTAAATTGTAGTTCAACATTTATTTCCTGTTACTTCTGGACCATGACGGTTGGCCAGCCTGTTGAATATGTTGAATATGTTGAATATGTTTTACCAAAATGTTGGCTATATGTTAAGGAGTGTTCAGTAGGTTGTGACAGTGCACTGCAACATGTTTGATTTCATTTATTTTGGTCCAATTTATTTTTATTTATCATATTAATAATTTATGTTTAGTATGGTTTTGGAAGTGCGCTCCAACATATTTGTTCTTGTTTATTGGTAAAATATTATTTGTTTTAAAGTTCAATAAATGGTCAATGAATAATCGTCAAAATAATCGTGATATAAATTATTGACCCAAATAATCGTGATTATGATTTTTGCCATAATCGCACAGCCCTACTACGCTATGATCAATTATGTTCCGTCACTGCATTGATGCAGAATCGTCCGCATTGCAATGCATCTTAGAAACAATTAACACCCCTACTTTGTACCTACGACCTATTTTCCTGTGTCTTAAACAATGTTGACCAAATTCTGTTTTGTTTTTCAGTTCTGATTCTTGGAATCTTTTTAGAGCGTGCCAGGAATAAAATGCAGGTAAAAGCCACTTTAATAATCAAAAGCTGTACACTGCCACAGGGTGTTTTGCTCATGGTATCTATACCAACCACACACTTATCACAATCAACAATTCGTACAGGTAGCAAAGTATGTTTTCTCCCCTGTCACGTGCAGACAACTTTGTTGCACTTAGTGGCTTAGTGTTGCTTTTTTCGCTAACCAGAGAGGCTTTCAATGTGAGCAGCAACAGCTTTCTGAAACCACTGTCACCAATTGTATTGAGTGCTTAGACTGGAAACTGGCGTTATGTAAAATATGGGGCTACATAAAAAAAGCGATTTTTGTTTGTGGATCACTTTCAAAATATTGGGGGTGGACAATGAAAGTTATAGGTTTGTATTATGTTTTTTTACTTTTTAATTCATTGTTGTACATACATGTCCTTTGTTCAAAATAGAATTTTTACAAATAGTATACATAAATAACACCAACTCAGTGTTTTTTTTAAATGTTCAGCAGCAGGTAAAGTCTGTACAACCTAAAGGTTTAAATAGTCTGGTCAATACTTTCATTGAACTGACTTCAACTGGAAGCCTTCAGCATTGGGTGTCCACTGTCCAGCCTGTGATTGGGAACCTAACTTCTGCCTGCTGTTTGAGTTTCTGCTCTCTTCTGCTTGTGTCATCAGGTTTCCTCACACAAGCCAGTGTAGATGACAGCATACAGCAGGTGGCCTTGATGTTGTGTGATGTAGCTTCGTGGAGCTCAAACTAATAAAAAACACTTCCACAATGCTGAAGTTGTTTCCTTTTATAGAACCCATTTCTCCACAGTTTGCAACACTTTACTCAATTGTAAAAAGCACAAAGATGTGGATGCGATTTCTAAAATAACCTGACTTTTCCCTACCATTACAAGCATTTAGGAATATTGGAACCTCAAGCTATTGAACAGAATATAAAAACAGTGCTATATTTTACTCTCATCACTCACTGTGTCGGTGTTCCACGGAGTCCGCCTCCAGACACTTTTCTACTGCTAGCCAAGGCGCTAAATATTAGGGCTGCACTCGACTAAAGATTTTTCTAGACGACCAATAGTCGTCAATTTAGGCGATTAGTTGAATAATCATCGCACGTTTATGATACATTATGATTATAAATATATATATTCTTTTTCATTCTTTTGTCCCCTCCCATATGGTTTTAGTTTCAAAGGCTGGTAAAGAGCATTATAACAGCATGGTACATTGTGCTTCACATCAAATATAAAATAACACTGAACCTTTGAAATATAAATGAAATGTAGAGAGCGCATGAGAGTCACAGCGCACGGACGCAGCGGTGTAAACAGCAGAAGCTCCGGTAAGGATTCTTATTGTGTGTGTGAACAAGCAGCGAGGACACACAGAACAGTTGGTTCTAGTTTCTATTATTCAATAAATACTACAGAGGAAACGTAAACACTGAAAATATGAGCCTCTGCAAAAATCCCTCCGCGCATTACGCCCTCGTCATGAAATGAAAGCGTTATCTTTTTCTGAGGTCAGAATGAATCTTATAGGTCTATATATATGTCGATACAAAGCTAGGCTGCTGCCTGACTCGCTGCTTCTGCTTCTTTTCCTCAGAGTCTGAGAAAGCAACACACGTTGTCGGGATAATTAAGCTCCGTGTTTTGTTATGAAGCTGGCATTCAGGAAGCTGCGCTCTGATCGTGTGGATATGGAGGAGACTTTTTACCGTCATAGTTTGCATGTCCTTTACTCGCTCACAAGGATCCACACTTTGGATTTCCTGCACGACCAAATTAACTTAAAGACCAGGCTCCGCTCTGAATGAATTCTGTTTTCCAGCTGACGCGTCATAGCACATGCAGCGCACGGAGCTTTTTATACAACTTTCTTTTTTTTCCAACTAATGAAAAATTGCTCGATTTAGACTTTATTAGTCGACTAGTGATAGTCAATAGTCTATTAGTGGGCAGCCCTACTAAATATCTTCCGGAGCGCAACATAAAACTAACGTGCTTCAGCACCACTGCTGGAATAAATCCTAGGGGAACGGGAACACTGTATTATCCTGAGGGCTATGATATAGTGGTAGCACTTCAGGTTGGAAAGATGATCAGGGGATCATTGTCCCTGGGGGGGGGGCTGTGATCTTAAGAGGAGAGAAGCATGGACAGACAGACAGAGCTTCCATCCACAGTCCAGCTCCAGCGGTCCTCTCTCTAGCTTACTATCCATTCATTGTGCTGAGCAGCCATTAGCACTCAGGACGCTGCAGTCCTCCTGGTGCTCAGCACAGGCCCTTCAATGTAAGAGTGTTACATAAATGAGCTTAATCCTTTGACTGGGAAACGAGCCTGTGTCATATGCTGCTGCTGTTATATAAGTGGCTCCTGTAACAGTGTCCTGTGACTACAGTAGCTAAGCTTTAGGATGAGAAGTGTGTCGGAAAGACAATAAGAAATGAAAAGGATGTTGATTCAAACCATATTAGAGTCCTGATGTACCAATCTTAACATTGTATGAAACACAGCCTGGTAAGGGTATACGAAAGGACAGAACCCTGTGCAGCATTACAGAAAAAAACGCTGAAATGAATACATGAGGCTAAAAGAAGAAAGAGATAACCAACCTTATTGAGCTCTTCTATTCTACGGATCAGGTAAGGGTTGCTGGAGGAGTTCTCGAAGTACACGTAATCTGGAAAAGACAGAAATAAAAAGGTTAGACTCAGGAAAATATGTTAGTCCAAATCAGCGTCAGATTTGGCAGTAAACAGTTGAGGCTTTCCAGTGAGTACTGACTTCATGATACATGATCGACTGATTTTAAGTAGGGATGCCAGAAACTGACCGTGATCAAATTCGAACAGCCCTGGCGAATATTAATCGATTATTTGCCCCCCCCCCCCCGCAGGAGAAAAAAAAAAAACAGACAAATGGAATTCCGTTGTTTTAACCTGACCATCTGACCAGGTCAAACCTGATCAGTTTGACCTGTCATCACAACTTTGGCATGCTTCGCACTCAAATGCGAACGCATTGTTGATGTTGTTGAGCTGTGGTAGACCAAAGTCTTTTCGCAGAGCTTGCATCTTACTTCATTTGCACTTGTCAGTTCGAAGTAGTTCCACGAGGAACTCTTCTTTGAACGTGCCGCTTTGTTCATCTTTAGTTGTGTTGTTCTCACTGTTCTGTATATCGCCAATAAATCAACCGCACGTGTGACGGAGAGAAGGGGGGGCGGGGTCGGTGTGTAGCAGGCTGCAGCAGGCAGCAGCAGTCTGCACAGCTTCCTCCAAGTTTACAATAAAACAAACTGGTGGTGTGACCAATGGCCATTTACAATTATCAATACTATTACTATTGTTAACATTAGTCTATATTTTGGTTGAAACTAAGCCAGGAAAAAAAAGAAAAACATAAATAATAATAAAAATATATATAAATAAAATCGAATTTTAAAAATAATATTCGATTATGGAGACTGTAACGAATATTTGAAAAATCGAATAATCGCTGGCATCCCTAATTTTAAATGTAAACTAGGATTAGAGGTTAGGGTTAGAATCGCGTACACACTGTATGTAATTACTGCAGGGCGTTACCCAAAGTGTGTAGCAGTGGTTGTACTCCAGTTTGAATTTTAAATAGCACCACAATGTAACAACCCCCCCCCCCCCTTTTTCTGTTTTCATTTAAAATGTTCATGTTGACTTTTATCCACAAATCCCATTCAATACAGGGTTTTTTTCTAGAAAAATATAATATGAGGGTGCTGATCTTGTATATAAGATATATTAATTCTCTCAAGAACATGGCGCCCGTATACAAGATTGCGCCGCAGACGTAAAAAATAGTGCAACGACGGAGCTCCCTAAAAAACAAAGCTGTCTATGCTACCTGGCGGTAAGATTTTCATATTTGAACAGAAATAATCATTTCTGGCATCACTAAGATTTTACAGGGAAAATTGGGATTTTTGTATGAGGGCGCACGCCAAAAGTAAAATGGCGCTGTGCACCTGTTTAGACAGAACCCTGCAATGTATGCTACATAAGTCAAGATTTGAATATTCAAATGTTATCACCAGAATCTTTTCCTAGGACCATGAATATTGGCAACAGATTTGAAGGCAATCCGTCTGTTGACTGGAAGTTTGAAGATCATTGAGAGATGAGTCCTACTGTAGTGGGTTCTATTCATTCAGAATCAGTCAGTATGTACAAATGTGTGCTGGCCTCACCCTCCTCCATCTAATCCAGAGCTCTTCACAGCCCTCTCTGATAACCACAGGCAATCCTTCCCACACACACAGCACCGACCCAGCTTATACTTTATTCAATGTTGCGAAGGAGGGGGAACCGAAAGAGCAAACGGGTCAAAACGTAATGGACAAAGAAAACGTTTCTAACTTATACCTGCTGCTCGTAATTCGACATAACAACAATAATATTAATAAATCCAGAAGCCCAATTGGATCAAATCCAGCAGCTACAATTATATTCCTGTTTTACTGGTTCAGGCTACTGGTGTAAATGTGTTTGTTATGTAGAGAGGCTTGTGTGCCAGTTTAGAAGTCTTCTCCAAGTCATATCACAAAGGTCATGAAGCCAGTAGGCTAGCCAAGAGCAGCATGACGCTCAGATGAGCAAGCAGTCTGCAGCGCACTAAACCTCCACTCCATAGAACGCAGCTAATATACTGGCATCACAGCTCCAAAGACTGGTATGAGGAGCGTCAGTTAAAGAACCTCTTAATGCTTATATTTTCACCCAAACAAGAAAGCCATCCAATAAGCCATACTACTACCACCCCTAAAGACGGTCTGGGACCATGTCCTAGTGAGGTGTAAATGACATCTGAATTACGCTGGTCAACAAACTCCACCTCGTCCTGCTGTCTCGAGCTGTCTGCCAACACACTCATTTGTTGATAATCAAATCCACAAATAAGTCGAACACATACAGCAGTATCACTTCTTTTGACTAGGGACACACCATTCTTACTGACAGTCCACCAGCTCTGCCTAACTCATTTGCATGTGTGTAAATGTAAACGGCTTTGATCAGAAGTTATATTCCACAGAAAATGCTCTTAATAAAAATTAAACTGGGCAAACAAGGAATTAATCTAGGGCTGAGATTATAAATATGGCAAATATTAAAATGGCAAAAACAAAGGAATACATTAAAAAAAACATTAAGACTATTTTTGTTTTTGGTTGTTTCTTGACAAAGTAAAACCAAACCAAGACTAGAACATAAGAAAAGCCTTCATCTCATGCACACAACAATACGTTTCCACAATGTTGACATATTCTGCATATAAACTTAAAGGTCTCCTATTATACTAGAGATGAGTTGCATTGTGCAGAATATGGGCTAAACAGTTTGCAGCGAGCACGTCTTTTTGAGCCAGTTTCAGTTTCTGATAAACACCGTGGTGTTTTCCATAGTTAACGCTGGCGTTGTCTGCTGCATATGCTGACATTTTTATCACATCTAGTCCAGACATCTCCAGTTTAGATAGCAGCTGATTTGTTATAGCTTCTGACTTTTTGTTGCTATCACTGTAAAAATCCAACAGTGCATGTTGCACACCCTCCTCAAAGTGAACATATCTCAGTACAATGGGGAAACACTTGATCGTACCTTTGTTTGATGCATCACTTGCCACTGAATAATGCAGTTCATTTTCTTTTATATAATCCACATGCGTCTGGACAGAGTAGGGTGCTAGGACATTTTCGCACAAAGCTTTGGCTTTTGTTTTTCCACAGGTCATCCCTTCTGCTATTGATGACTCGTTGTAGATTGTGCGATCAACTTTTATTCCACAGTGTACACTCCTGTATGACTGGTGATGCTTGACGGCATGATAAACTTTACAAAGCTCTGCAGCAGAGATTTTGTCATCTTGAGGCGATGAAGCTTCACGGAAAAACGATAAAAGTGAAGATGCACCTGCGCTTTGATCGTTGCTTTTGTGCTTATCTGTGTTAGCATGTCTGTCGACAGCACCTTTTCCTTTGCTGCTTACGTCCACATCGCAACGACACAACGTGCAAAAAGCATGGAAGTCGTCCTTTCGGCTTTTTGTGAGGAATCCATGCTCTTTCGACCATTCAGGATTAAATGAAGTCTTTCGTTTCGGCATTTCTGCGGTTTAACCCTACCGCTAACTAGGTGGAGTTGGCTCATGAGCTAGTCGGCTAGCGCTAACATCACTCTGTGCCACAGTGCCCTGCTTTGAAGGTGATGTCAAGAAGCACATGGCTAATTGTTTACGTTTATTAACCAATGAAATAAAAGATATTTATTTGACATCGCATTCAAGTCGTCATACAAGTCTTACGGGGGTATATACTTACACATAACTTATTTTTTGTATAATTGTCAAAAAAAATGTATACCCTAAAAGTATAAAATAGGGATGACCTCAAAAGGAGGACAAATGAGCGTCCGGCTCAAGGCTGCACCGGCAGACGGGCACAGACATTGAAAACCGGACTGTCCGACCTAAAACCGGACGGATGGCCACCCTAGGCACCGCTGATGTCGGGGAAACGATCCTCAATACTCCGAAAAGAATCCCACCAGACTCTTTTGCCCCTCTAACAGTGGGATGTCCTTGTCCTTTTTCCTTTGCGTTATTTCAAGCGATAAAAACTCTCGGCCTTCTCTCGAATTATTAATATTTTTGGACGCCCTCGACTCGAGTTCAGGGCGTCCCGAGCTGAATAAGGGCATCAAATGACGGCAAGATGCCCCCCTGGCGGAAACACTTCCTCTGAGAGATATTTGGTTACAAAGAACACAATTATGCTCTAGGGGGAGATTCAGGTGATAAGGTGGGGGGGGGGGGGCTAATGGTTACACAGGCCAAAAAATCGTTATGACATCATAAAGTGGCCAAAACCTGATCAGCTCATTTTCAGACAGGTGTTTATAGAAATTATGGATGCACGATATTGGGTTTTTGAAACCGATACCGATAACTTCCTGCTTCTCAAGACCGATAATAAAAAAAAGGTACGCCACTAATTATTTTAACGCGATTAACGCATGTGTATTATTTTTCCTCGGCTGCCCCGTAGTTTCAGAGTGCATCAAGTTTAAAATACCATCTACAAGCTGATGCTGACAGCCCCGCTCCTGTCGCCTGCTTGTGGCAGACCACACTTCCACGCTCACCGGCAGGCACCGACTGGCCATCTGGAGGACCGGGAGGGTGTGTATGTGTGGCCCGAGCGAGCGAGAGAGAGAGACCTTACGTGCATTGTTGTTGTTAGCATCTGGTGCTAGCTAGCTGCGCTAACGGATATATGGAGCTGTTTAAATGAAAACAGAGGAGCGACATTTCGCCACAACTGCGCCGAGCACTTGACTTTATGCAGGAAGCCAGACAGTGGGACATTGTACGAAAAGTCAGCACACTCAGCACGGATAGTGCGCAACATGATTGCAGCGTCCAGGCAGCTCCCGTTCGAGCATATGCCTTGAGTTGCACATAGCTCCAACGCCCATACCACCGACGACATGTTTGTTTACTGTCCTGGCTTCACGAGTTAGGGAGCGCTGGATTTGTGAAAAACTCCCCTCTTCCTAAACCACTAATACCACAGTGCTGGCAAAACGGGAGGAGCCGAGTGAAAAACAAGCGCCCCTCATCCCAATCCACCCACACCGCAGTATTTTT